CCCGGCACCGAGCCCCGACGTCCCGGCTCTGCGTCCCCAAATCCCAGCATCGTCCTGAGAAGCCTGCTCCCAGAACAGACCCATCCCTCTGGACCGAACCCTCCCCCGGACCCCCGATTTTCTCCCATGAGTCTGGGGCCAGCCTAGAGGAAGGATCAGGGGAATCTGGGGGTCTCTCACCTTCTGCCCCATCCCCAGGGCTGTGGGCGGCCGTGCAACTGGTCGAGTCCGGGGGGGGCCTGCAGAAACCCGGGGGGTCCCTGGGCCTCGTCTGCAAGATGTCCGGCTTCGACTTCAGCAGCTACGGCATGTTCTGGGTGCGACAGACGCCCGGGAAGGGGCTCGAGTGGCTGGTGGGTATTCAGTACAGCGGTGGCAGCACCTTCTACGCGCCGGTGGCCCGAGGACGCTTCACCATCTCGAGGGACAACTCCCAGAGCACGGTCACGCTGCAGATGAACAGCCTCAGGGCCGACGACACGGCCACCTACTACTGCGCGAAAAATGCTGATGGTGGTGGCACCAACCCCGGCATTGAGCCCCAACATCCCTGTGCTGCATCCTCAAATCCTGGCATCTTCCTCAAACTCCTGCCTTATTTCTCGATTCTTGCAACCTACCTGCTCCCTTGCAACCTACCTGCTCCCTTGCACCCAACCCGGACCCTTGTCCTGAGTTTTGACCCTTCCCACCCAGCCCAGACGTCTCTCACCCAACCCGCAGCCCTTGCAGAAGAGGCACAGGGTGGGGGTTTGGGGCAAGACCCGGGGATTTGGGCACCGTGCAGGGGTCCGGGCTCCTTGCAAAGGGTCCAGACTCCTGCAAACAGTCCAGGCTCAGGGCGAGGGTCTGGGTTGGGTGCAGGGGTCCAGGTGGGGCACAAGGGACCAAGAACTGGATGGGAGTTTGAGGAAGATGCCGGGATTTCGGGACACAGCGCTGGGATGTTGGGGTTTGGTGGTGGGGTCAGTGTCACCATCATCTTGTTTCGCGCAGTAGTAGGTGGCCGTGTCGTCGGCCCTGAGGCTGTTCATCTGCAGCGTGACCGTGCTCTGGGAGTTGTCCCTCGAGATGGTGAAGCGTCCTTTGACCGACGGCGCGTAACCTGTGCTACTACCATCGCTGTAAATAGTCGCGCCCCATTCGAGCCCCTTGCCTGGCGCCTGTCGCACCCAGTCCGTGCCGTAGCTGCTGAAGGTGAAGCCGGAGCCCTTGCAGAGGAGGCGCAGGGACCCCCCGGGTGTCTGGAGACCACCTCCGGACTCGACCAGTTGCACGGCCGCCCGCAGCCCTGCGGAGAGAGAAAGGACGGGTTGAGTTGTCCAGGTCCGTGAGTTGCCCACCCACCCCAAAATCCATGTGCCCGGGGTAGGGGTCAGCGTGGCTGGGTCCCACTGATAGCATATGTCCATACATTCCATCTGGTATGTCCAAATATTTTGATGGTTTCAGTATTTTGTGCCAGCTGTGGAACCTGGTTTGCTGCTAAAAGCCTGTCAAAGTGAGATTTTGTAGATAGTATTAGGAATCTAATTAGAACCAACTGACGCTATGGTTGAAACGCCGCTGTCAATGCTCGCGACGAACTGGAGCCCCTTCCCGGGCGCCCGTCGCACCCAGTCCGTGCCGTAGCTGCTGAAGGTGAAGCCGGAGCCCCTGCAGGGGTCTGGGCTTGGAGCAACGGGTCTGTGTTGCGAGCAAGGGGTCCAGGGTTAGGACAGGGGTCTGGGCTCGTTTCAAGGGGTCCAGGATTGGGTCAGGGGTCTGGAAAAATGGCAGGGAAGGTCAGGGCACATGGAACCCTCCTTTGGTGTAACCATCACCCTGAGCAACTCGAGTCGAAGGTCAGGGCACATGGAACCCTCCTTTGGTGTAACCATCACCCTGAGCAACTCGAGTCCCCCTGGGCAGAGAGGACCCCCCCAGGAGGAAAAACTCCAGAGCAGCCCCCCCTCCACCTTCCTCCTCCTCTTCTTCCTCGCAGCCCTTCCAGGTAGGATCCCCCAACCTCCAGAATGCAGATTTTGGGTGGGTGGACGACTCAGGGACCCGGGTGACTCCATCCCGTCCTTTCTCTCTCCGCAGGGCTGCGGGCGGCCGTGCAACTGGTGGGGTCCGGAGGTGGTCTCCAGACACCCGGGGGGTCCCTGCGCCTCCTCTGCAAGGGCTCCGGCTTCACCTTCAGCAGCTTCAGCATGGGATGGATTCGACAGGCGCCCGGGAAGGGGCTCGAATATGTCGCGAGTATTGACAACGATGGTAGCACCTACTACGCGCCGTCGGTCAAAGGACGCTTCACCATCTCGAGGGACAACTCCCAGAGCACGGTCACGCTGCAGATGAACAACCTCAGGGCCGACGACACGGCCACCTACTACTGCGGGAAAGATGCTGGTGGTGCTAGAAATGCTGGCATCATGACCCAACATCCCTGAGCTGTGTCCCAGCATCTCAGCATCTTCCAAAAACCCTTGCTGTGACCCCAGACTCCAGCTCCAAGACTGGACCCTCACAGTGATCCCAGAGCCTTGTACGGAACCCAGACCCTCACCCTGAGCCCCGACCCCAGCCTCAACCGTGGATCTTTTGCTCCAAGTCTGGACCTTCAGACCCTGCCCCAAAATCCCTGCACCGTTCCCAGCATCTTCCCAAAGCCCGGACCCTCGCCCTGAGCCTGGACTCTCTGCAGGAGTCTGGATCCTTTGGAAGGAGCCCAGACCCCTGCACGGTGCCCAAATCCCCGGGTCTTGCCCCAAACCCAGGCTCGGTGCGTCCTCTGCAAGGGCTGCGGGTTGGGTGAGAGACGTCTGGGCTGGGTGGGAAGGGTCAAAACTCAGGACAAGGGTCCGGGTTGGGTGCAAGGGAGCAGGTTGGTTGCAAGAACCCAGGAATAAGGCAGGAGTTTGAGTAAGATGCCAAGGTTTGCGAACGCAGAGTAGGGATGTTGGGGTTCGGTGCCA